GCTCTGCCTTAGTAGCTGCAGCAAAACCCGCTGAGACCGAACAACACTCAGCCATGCCAGCTGGTGATGTCAATCCTGCCTCGCCAGCACATGTCACCCCTGTATTGCCAGTGCCCAGCACTCCGCTAAGGCCTCAGACTCCGCAGGTGCCCCCATCACCACAGACAGCTGTGCCAGTAGCTACCCTCGGAACAACACTGGAAGAGTGCGTACCTCCACGAAGTCCAAACCCTGCAGGCCTGACAACTCGGTCAGGAAGAACTGTGAGGCCTCCAGAACGCTTGAATCTTTAGCTGAACATTGAACTGTGTGTGCTTTAGAGCTTCACATGAACATTTTGATTTGTGGTTATTTTTCCTCTTGTTGTTCGTTTGTTGTATTTACCTAGCTTTCCCTTTAGGGGGGGGGATGTAGGATTAGGCTTGCATTGCATGCTGGGTTTGAGGTCGGCCATCTTGAATAAACCTCATGCTAGCTTGTGTTTACTCGGAGTCTCCTCTCTTCTTCGCCTGATACTACACACCTGACTCTAGCAGTGCTGCTGTATGTCTACCCAGACTCAACTACAGCATTAAACGAGAATTATGTGAAGTGTGCCTTAACCCAACCAACATTCTTTGACAGCTTCAATCACTTGACATGAACAATACTTCTCTTGGTCTTCCCAGTAAGTTATTGCATGCATGTGCTAATGAAATATCATCTTTGTTATACACATTATTCAATTTGTCCTCAGAGCTTGCGACATTTTCTGAAAAATAGAAGGATCCAAATCCAAAGACAATTGTTTCAAAGTACTGTGGCATTTCGCTTCTTGATGTTCTATCTAAAATTTTGGAAAAACAGGTTTTAGCATGATTTGCCCACATCTCACCCACTGGCAGCATGGTTTTCTACCAGGAAAATGCACTGTCTCAACTATCTCAAGTTGTTCATCAATTTGCTTACGCTCCTGAGAGGAGACAACAAGTTGACATTATTTTTTTTAGATTTTTCTAAGGCTTTTTATCATATGTCTCACGAAATACTCCTGTTTAAGCTTGAACGCTTAGGTATTGGTGGATCCTTGTTAGCTTGGTTTAGATCATATTTATCGGGTAGAAGACACAGAGTCATGATAGATAACAGGTCATCTGATTTCCTCCCTGTAACATCTGGAGTCCCGCAAGGGTCAGTTTTGGGGCCTTTACTGTTCTTGCTTTTTACTGGGCTGCCTCTGGCACAGCCCAGTTATAAATTCGGCTCGCTTTTTCCTGGCACAAATTGCACTCTGGCATGTTCAGCGTGTGCGGCAGATATAAGAGCATGCGTAGAATAGGTCAGCAGTCTTCAGCAGAGTACATTCTGAGGAGCTCAAAGCGACCAGCAATCTATCTTCGGTTAAATGCTGTCATAGTTCTAATATGGTTAATGTACATATGGATGTTAACACTGTCCATGGTAAGCCCACAGTAAAAGATTGCTTGAGTACATTTTGGAAGTGGCATAATTATGAGCTATACGAGAGACCAATTTACGAGCGAACTGTTCCGAGTGAATCTTTTATTGAGAAACTTGTATATTAAGTGAGCTACCTACTGTGTTTGAATCACTAAGCAAATCTTCTATATTTACTGTTAAAATTGAAACTGTTGGGTACTAGCAACTGGATCAGTGAAATTCAACAGCGTGTTTCTGTTAAACACAAGAGACTTCTAGTAGAAGAAACAACAAGGGAATTCAGTACTTTAATTGCCAGGTTTTAAGTAACAATACCCTGTTGTATTAATTTCGTGAATTTTATCTTTCTTTAATTATTGTAATCACGTATTTAGTGATCAACCATCTCATGTCGCATTTAGATGTTTATACAGAGGCTGTTGTTATTTCAATGTTTAAAGAAGGTGATGTATTAGATAAAAGAAATCAATCGACCGCAAATGTTTACAGTGATTCTGTGGTAACAACAAAGGTGATAGAAGATACAAGATCTTGCTATGCAAAGTATGTTAATTTTGGTAGGCCATGGAAAGATAAAAAGCGTGATCGTGAGCCCAGTAGATTACCATTACGTTTTCAGAAATATATAGCAAAGAAAAGCAAAAAGCTAAGAGAAATTGTTTATGATTTTTGTTCCTTCAAATGCACCTACATCCTCCAGCCTGCATAGTTATGTAATGGTCAGAAAAATTATAAGTTATGGGACAAATAATCATGCAACAGTTTCAAAACAACAGGAGTGGACAAAGCGATTTCGTCAAGGCATATTAAAGTTGAAATATCTATATCAAGTTAGTCAATATTTATCATTTTTTTCATGTAATAGGCCAATGTCAGTTTATAAGACTCATAACCACATAGTAAAAACTTGTAAATTTAGATTTCACACAGATATAGAGAAAAATCCGGGACCTTCTTTGCTACTAATAGACCCTTGGAAAACAATAAAAGCACCACATAGCCAAGGAAATGAATTAGTACTTGGACAAAATGTAGGACAACAATGTGTAGCGATGATTTAGTGTTCTTTGATCTGTAATAAAAAACGGGAATAAACTCGTCTGATGATATTGTACAGATAATGAATATTGGAAATCAGCTTTATTCAACTTTGTCTCGATTAGCAAGACAGTCTTATTTAATGATGACTGAGTTACCTACAATAGTGGATGTATTTGACAGTACTTATCAGTTTAGGTTCAGTGAAAGCTATAGTGGTACTCTAGGTCAAGAAACTTATATGGAAGGATATCAGTACTGCATGTCTTTGAAAACAGCCTTTGAATCCTTGATATCAGAGAACTACACATCTTTTATATTACCGATCTGATGTATTACTGTTGCAGTTTACTACACTAGCAATGAAGTATTTAAATATTTGATTCTCATGCAAGAGATCTGTATGGTAAGAGCCATCCTCAAGATACATGCGTACTTTTAGAAGTATCATCAGTAAATAACATAGTACAATATTTTTAAAGTATACATAATAATCACAGTATTTTCGAAGTCAGTAAAGGAATTCACGTTAACGAAGTTCAAAATAGCATTATCAGTGTACCAGTTATTCCTGAAAGTGATGCAAATGAAAACAATAAGTTTAATCTCAGTTTTGCTGTAGCAATATATTCACTTTGTTATGCAGTGATGGTACCTTGTAGTTACTGGAATACAAATGCAGTAGCCACTATCACGGAAAATGACATTAAACTATACCCGCTACTTTCGAACAGAAATGAAACATTAGATTGCTTACCGAAAATTGTCAACATTTATGAAGCTGAAATAAGTGTCAACCTTTTGAATGCTAGTAGCAGAGGGGTATTCTTATCTGCCTCATGTCAATGCATATCAGTGTTGGAGGTTATTATAATAAATAATTCAGAATGTACAGGGTTTTTGTTGTGGTTTGGTAATTATTGTATCAGCTGTATTTCAAGAGCCACAAGGAGATAAAAGTATATGTATTCCATGATGAAGGTCAGGTCCCTCCAATGCAATTTATTCAAAGTATAAAAAGTATAGCTTAACTGTTAAGGTAATCAACTCTATACAAAAGAAAAATCAACTAACAGACAATTATGAAATACAGTTTTCATGTTGTTCATGCAATTATCACGGCAGAAATGAATGCCAAACGATTATGAAAAATCAACATGTGAAGATAGATTATCATTCAATGGGACCTTCTAAAAAGAAAAAGAAACGTGAACTATTGAAAAAAAAAAGCTGAAAAATACAGATCAATGGATAGTACAAAAAAACAGGAAGTAATTAATAACATGCAACAAAGAAAGAAAAAGAGTTGCCTAAGAGATAAGAGCAAAGATATTGCTTCCTGTATTCAACAGTTTAAAAAGAACCTAAAAGAAGGTCCATATCACATATGCTGTGTGTAATAGAGGTCTGTATAAAAAATCTGTCTTAAAATTAATCACTAGTAACTATCCCCGCCAAGATATTTTTACGAAACAAGAATCATATGATAAAGAAGAGTACATCTGTAAAACATGTCACTCGAAAATGATACCAGGGAAAGTTCCATGTCAAGCAGTTGTAAACAACTTGGATATTGATGACATTCCAACAGAACTGAATTCACTTTAAAACTACAACAAATTTTAATAGCACAGCTTATAGTATTTGAAAAGATTGTTGTTATGCCTAAAGGACAACAAAAAGAAAATTAAAGGAGCAATTTGTAATGTACCAGTTGAATGTGATCAGACATGTAGCATATTACCTTGGCGACCAGAAAGTTCCGGAATAATTCTCCAAAAATTAAAAAGAAACTGCAGTTCCAAGGACATGTTTATTTTGAAGCAGTAAGGCCGGAAACCGTAATGACAGCATTAAGATGGTTGGAAGCTAGCAATCCTTTATACAAAGATGTAGAGATAAATTGTTCAAATATTGGTCTGGATCTTACAAATATAGCTAGTGACAATGAATATATTGACAATTTTTTAATAGATAACAACGCAACAAACAATTTTGGTGATACATCTGGAAGTTCGTCTGTAAATTCAAATGTTCATGAACAAACACAAAATTATGAAGAAGAAATAGACGACCCCTTAAATAATTACAGATCACCAGCCAATGAGAGATGTCTGCAATCAAAAATTCCTGATTATCCTCTTATAACTGAACAAGATAACGGGAGTATTTCTACTGGAAGAGAAATTTACAACATAGCACCCAGTGAAAATAAACATCCAGTGTCTTTTATGACTGATAAATTATGTGAAGAACTTGCATTCCCAGTGTTGTCCCCAAAGGCAAGATTTGGTTATACTGCTTCCCGTGACATTAAATTATCACCAGTGAAATACTTCAATACCAGATTGTTGCATTACAGTGGGCGTTTTGCATCAAACCCTGAATATCTTTTCTTTGCTCAGTTTATAATAGAACAGAAAAAAGTATCTGATAGTACAAACATTGCTCTCAAGAAAGTTCATGGGGAACCAGTAACAGCTTCCCAAGTGAGATCAAACACACAAGTACCACATAATCTTATTTCTCACGATCAGGCATATTTATTTTTAAGGCAAATTCCAGGTTAGAAATCCTGCAATGGTGAAACAGTTGGGTATACCAACATGGTTTATGACCTTATCATGTGCTGACTCAAGATGGCCTGAACTATTTCAAATTATTTCTAGAAGTAGCTGTACAACTGACTGATGAACACGTAGATACTTTGTCATATGATGAAAAATGCAGGCTTATTAATTTCAATCCAGTTATCGTAGCAAAACACTTTCAGTACAGGGTTGAAACATTTTTTACTGAGGTTTTACTTTCAAATGCAAATCCAATAGGTAAAATTTTGTATTATGCTCTTTGTATTGAATTCCAGATGAGAGGGTCACCTCATTTACATGCACTGATATGGACGATGATATGGACATCCGACTGCCCAAAACTAACCCATGATAGACAAAAACAAAGACGTAGAATTATATGAATTGGTGAAAAAATATCAAACACATAATCACAGTAAAACATGTAGAAAATATGAAAATATTGCATGTAGATTTGAATTTGGACATTTTTGTACAGACACCACTATTGTGGCAGAACCTTTACCGGAAGATATGGATCCACAGATAAAACTGACATTTTGACAAAACGAAAGGAGATTGTAAGTCTAGTAAAACAAAAAATTAGTGAATCTCTCAATCCAAGCAAGGCAAACTACAATCCCATGTTGACTCCTGATGACATATTTCAAGAACTGAGAATTATTAAGGAACAATATGAAAAGGCTCTATCTCTATCACCTGATTCTGACTATGACCTGCATCTCAAAAGACCAATTGACAACTGTTTTATTAACATTTACTTTGTTGCTCGCATTAAGGGATTTGTTGCCAACGTAGACTTGCAACCTGTTTTCAACCACTATAAATGCATAACCTACGTTTGTTCATATTTTACTAACAATGAGACAGAATGCTCGCAAGGTATCATGAATGCTTCAAAAGAAGCAAGAGAAATAAATCTAAATGTTCGAGATGGCCTTTGAAAAATAGGAGCTGCTTTCTTATCTTCAACAGAAGTAAGTTCACAGGAATGTGTTTATAGGTGTATGCCTAAACTTTGGCTAAGAAAAGTATTTCCAAAAACTATTTTTTCTCAATACCAAATTCTCAGATAAACGATTACGAAAGTCAAACATCATTGAACAATATAGTTTAAGACCAGCACATGTTAAATCTGTCAATGATATGTGCCTAGCTGAGTTTGCTGCTTACTATTATAAGGACTACAAAACCGATCACTGTGAAACAGTAGATGCTCAGCCAGAAGTTCTTAGTGATGATATTATTGAACAATCACATGTATGTGTAAATGATGATGCATCAGTAGTACCTAAACAAATAAGGTTGAAAAACACAAATGAAGTTGTGTAGAAAAGTTAGGGCCATCATAAGATACCACACTCCAAATAAAGCAAAGGAACCTGAAAAAATATTTCCACCATCTCCTTATTCTTTACCACCCATGGAGACAAGAAACAGAACTTCTAGGTGAAGAAAAAACTTACATGTCTAAATTCAATGTGTCAGATGTCCAAACTATTGTACAACGGAACAGAAACATATTCGAGCCAGATTCAGAAGCTGTTATAGAAGCACCTAAATCTTTAAGAAAAAGTAACATCAGAACGCCGTACTCATTCGATCCTATGAATGGTCAGGAAAATGATGATGTACAATTTGATATTACAAATAGTAGTTATGAAGAGTCCTTTTATAGCCAGATGACAGGAGATCAACTTTTTTCGTCAAATGAACAAATTCCCAGAAGTGTCAGAAATATCTGATGATGATCTTCGCCAGTCAGTGAGATCATTAAACTCTCACCAACGTAAAGCATACAACATAGTGCTAAGTTGGTGTAGAAACAAAATAAAAAACATGGGCACTTTAAAACCAGTTCAATTACCACCTATACATCTGTTTATTGCAGGAGGAGCTGGTGCAGGAAAACCTCATCTTATAAAAGCCATATACCATACTGTTACAAAGAACTGTAAACATGCTGTTATAAACTCCGAATTACCAACAGTATTGTTAATGGCGCCAACAGGTGTAGCCGCTATAAATATATGTGGAACAACTGTACATTCTGCATTAGGAATCCCTAGAGACTCAGGTATAAAGCTTACTCCAATGTTAGATCACAAAAGAACACAATTAAGGTTAGCTTTGCCGAGTTGAAATTGATAAGCATTAATGAAGTTTTAATGGTGTCAAATATTACTCTACTGCACATCCATCAAAGACTTCAAGAAATATTTGCTGCACCAACTAATTGACTGTTTGCGGGACTTAATGTTATTGTTGTAGGTGAATGATATCAATTGGGACCCATTCGATCTAAACTAATATTTGCTAATTATTCAGATGATGCGTACAACATATATCATCCTTGGGTAGTTTTCGCAATGATCGAATTGACAGAAAATATGAGACCTAAAGATGACCAGGCATTTACCAAAGTCTGCAA